CAGAACTAGCGAACAACACCATTATTTATCTTACGGTGTGAACAACCGGTTTATGCATCCAGTTTATTCGCATACACGTAAACAACTATAATGAGTATAAGGGAATAAAGGTTAAAGAATTTCTCAAAACATCTTTCATTCTTACTCCAACTATTCTTTCTATATATAAACATTACCATCCATGTAGATTGTTGATATAAGTGAGTGTGAACACATTGAATTCTTTTTTATCCACGTCTCAAATGTAAGTTAAGCCCATGACGTCACTTGTATCCGCCAATCATAACTCTACAAATATGAGATGACGTCATTATCATGTCATAACTAATAAATTAATTCAAATTGATGCTTATTAACAGATGTATAAAGGCTCAGTTACAGATCGGGTTAACTATAAAGCTATTTGTTCTCCAGGATATTTTTGACTATTAGATTTATATGTGTTACATGTCATATACTTATATAATGTAACAGATTTAGATGTGTTATATGTCATATACTTATATAATGTTATAGATTTAGATGAGTGTGAGACTGGTACTCACAACTGTTCTCAAGAATCTGAACTATGTGTAAATGAAATTGGTGACTTCCAATGTATATGTAGTGATGGTTATTTGAACACAAGTACAGGATGTAAAGGTATGTGATTTTTGAATGTTAATATATCAAAGTTAGTTTACCCCATGTTATGTTTGACTGAGAAATTATTATTATTATTCATTTATGCCAAATAATAATAATTCATTTTACAGATATCAATGAATGTAATAATAATGGTACATGTGATGACAACGCCAAATGCACAAACACGAATGGGTCATATATTTGTGAATGTACAACTGGCTATACTGGCGATGGAGTATTCTGTGTCGGTTAGTATACTTTACTTCATTACTACATGAAATTGTAATATATAGCAGAATTATTTTTTCATTTCTTTTATTTTGTTTTTCCTAGATGAAAATGAATGTAACAATGATGATGGTATATGTGGATTACATTCAGTTTGTACAAACACGGATGGGGCGTATAATTGTTCATGTCAAAAAGGATATGAAAAAGAAAACGGGAATTGTACAGGTAGATAACAATCATTTGTATTTATTGTCAGTATAATTTGTGATATGAGTTATGTGGTTATTGTAAGTGTATGCAACCTGTACGGCGATATGCAATGAAGATCTAGAAAAAAAGTGAATTGTCAGCTCTGCTAGTGTCAAGATATTACAATCTGTGTCAATCGTATTTCTACAGTATTTCTATATATGCTAACCAAGACGATCACTAATTTGTCAGAATCTCTCAAATCACATAACTTTATACATTTACTTCTGATGCATATGAGGCCTTAGTCATGTAACACACAACTTGTGTGGTAGCTTATTACTAATTACTGTACATTTCAAAACTTATCCCTTAAGTGAGAAAGTCAATTTCAGTCACCATCCACAAAATTAACAATTTTAGATCAAATTATTAAAACCAACGTCATATTTTCCTTGTTTGTTCCAAAATTAAGAAAAGGAAGGAAAATTAAGGAAACAATTTGTACGCAACAGGTTAACTAATTTAATCAGTTCACAAGTCTATGTTATCAATCTTTTTTTTTCAGATATGGACGAATGTGACAAAGAACAGATAATAATTGTCATAAGCAACATGGTGAATGCGTCAATACTGATGGTTCATATTTATGTATATGTATCAAAGGATATACTGGAGATGGCTTCAATTGCTTTGGTAAAACATTGATACGATAAGCATTACAAGTGATACGCCAACTGGCGATGATTTAGTGACATTATTGTATAAATAGAGCATTTCAATTACGATTTGCTATTGGATTCTTTGAACGAGTATAGTAATATTTCCCAAGCCTTATAGCTGATACTTTCCATATACTTGATATTAAAGTATAGTATATCATGACACATATGAGAAGTGAACATTGTTCGTCCCTAATGATGAATTTATAAGTAATTATTTAAACATTATTACGTACATCATTATGTCAGTTATGTGTTGGTATTATATTTCAGATATTAATGAGTGTGAACTACCCAATGACCATGATAACGCTGACAATTGTGATACAAATGCAGATTGCATCAATACAATGGGAAACTTTACATGTGAATGCCATACTGGTTATCACCTTAATGGTACTACATGTGACGGTAAGTCTTCATGACATGCTTATATATAAGATACATTTTACCTCTCGCAGAGGTGACCCTTACAAAAATCCCTCCAAGGATCAACAATTATGTGTTTGTTGAGGTATGTGTGAGGATCAAAATCGTTCTCTGTGCCACCGGAATGTGCCGGTGCATTTCCTAAAATAAGCATTGTGCGCCACCTAGTTGTGCCATCATTCTGGACTGTATTCTGCACCCCTCATGCTGTGCTTCTCATTCTGCGCCATCAAGAAATTCACACTGTGCTCCATTCTGGGTTCAAGCTTTTTAAAAATGTAAAATTATAGACAATTATTATGACAATGATTTTCATGCAATTCGGGAAGTTTTCACATTAAATACTGTTATATAACATTTGTAGGGGCATCGAAAAGTACAAAGCTATTGAAAACAAATAAATAAAGGAATCAGCTAGCTATAATTAGGCACAATCGGCAGATGAAAATGCCAAAATTGCTAGTTTTCAAAACGGTAAAGAGTCAGACATATTGATATGCAAATGAGTAATCTGTGAAACAAACATGAACAGAGACTAACCACTTAGTGTTTGTAAACACTCATTGCGAGAGAATTATCACCCGAAAACACCATACATGCTTTATGCACACCCAATTACAGGATTTCAACGGCTAATTCTAAGATCATGAAACCATGAAAACAAACATTATCTTTGGGAGTGGCTGAATTATTAAAACAAAAACTGAAATTATATTTTGAGGTCGTTATCTGGGATATGATTTGAGTGGTTGAATGATAAAAACGAGAAAGAAACTACAATTTCATAAAGAAACAACGGCCGTTACATGCACCACAGAGTATAAAAGAGGGTTTATTGTCGTGTTTTGTAAACAATGTCTTGGTTTATTCTCGCTGCCTGTCTGGGGAAAAAACACACTCGCCAAATCATTCTCTCTGGTTATTTATGATTTGGTGGCCCTGATACAATTCCGTTTTTATTTCGCAATAGTTTTGAGCGTTGTCAAATTCGGGGTGCTAAAATGCATGTTTGCAGATTGCAGAATGTTTTTTTCTCGTCTTTTCCCAATCAAAAATCACATAGCGGTGATGTGATTAACAAATGACACCTGTTTGACCCCAAAAATGCACATACAGAATAATTTTCAGACATTTAAAAAAAAAACTTTCGTAAATTAATTTGTCAAACTAAAACATGCCAATTTTCTTGAAAAAACAAAAGAATACAGTAATTTTGACCTTTGAAGGCAAGCATTCAACCATTTCCGGTCTCAGGTGATTTCCGGACAGTTTGAAAAAAAGATATGTGAAACTTTTGTTTAAATAGTATGGTGCAAGTAAATATTACAATAATTTGAACAACAGATGTTTTGTTTTCTCAAAACCAGGCAAAACATATTCTGACCCAAAACAAGTCGACATTTCCGATCCCAGGTCACTTTCAGACATTTGGAAATTTCGGAACAACAACTTTTGATTTGCCCTACTACAAACGCTAATGTTTTTGAAAATAATATGAAAATAGTATGATTTTAGTCATTTGAAAGTACATTCCATAAATAAAGAAATAATTTTTTGAACGCAAATAATACTCTCGCTATCGCAGTGAACATAAGTGGTTAGTCACTACGGTGACTTGAAGTCTGAATGCATCAGGAATGTTTCAAAACAATGTTTATTGTAGCAAACCATGGAGATAAAATTTTGTTTGTAGCCTCCCAGGCAAACCAACATCAATAACTGACAAAGCAATTGCTGTTCAATTACATTTACTATCTTAAATTTTAATTTTGCTCGTTTTGTTGGGTTGCACTCATTGCGTGGCTACAATATTGTGAGATAATATTAATAAAAACAAAATAGTAGAGGTATTAAGCTGTGCGAATTACAGTTGTGTGTGTGAAGCTATGAGCATGTATGTTTGTGTAAAATACTAGACACGCATGTGTGGAGTTGGATTTTGTTGGCATCAGAACTTCATAAAATCAGATGATGAAATACAACAGAAGTGCATGGCCCTGGTGGAATGAGTACAATGGGGTGAAACATTGTTCAACTACGTAACAATATCCCTAGATTGTCATATAAAACATTGCATTGCTTTTCGATGGTGCAGAATGAAAGCCCAACTAGTGGTCAATTTCTATAAAAAAGGGACTGTAAAATTAATAGATCAAGAATTGAAACATTGTTTAAACTTTGTAGCAATTGACTCAGATTGCATCTTTGAAAACAAAAATAGTTTGTACACGAATGAACAGCACAGAATGATATGTATGTTTCTGATAGTTTTGTACTTTTCGATATTCCTACAAATGTTATAACATTATTTCACATAAAACCATCCCTATTGGTTGATAAACAGGTTTGAAAATCATTGCCGTAACTTCATTTTGAACCTAGAATGGAGCAAGAGTATGAATTTACTCGATGGCGAAGCATGAGGGGTGCAGAATACGGGGCAGAATGATGCCACAACTAGGGAGCGCACAATGCTTATTTTTGGAAATGCACCGGCACATTCTGGTGACGCGGAGTACGGATTTCTAGCCTCACACATATTTGTATTTTACCATAAATCTTGCCATATGTCATAGAAGTAGTCAAGTATTATCCTTATAATGCACTATATTAGCAAATTAATTACCATAAAATCTGTATCAGAAGCCATATCCCTAATGTACCCTTTCTATTTAAACAATTTAGAACCAAAACTTCACTACTTCGAATAGAATCCACATCCCCTCTGTTGCATTATACCATTTTAATAGAAATTACGGATTCTAAAATATATTTTTAGTACCAGTATGTTTATTCTACCATAAACAGATGACAATGAATGTGATGCTAACAACACATGCTTGGATATTAATGAAGCAATATGCGTCAATCTTCCTGGAACATATAGTTGTGGTTGTGCCAATGGTTACCGTGGTGATGGGATAATCTACTGTGATGACATCGATGAATGTAGGGAAACGCCAGACATATGTCACATAGATGCCATATGTAACAATACAGCAGGGTCCTATTATTGTGAATGCAAGAAGGGTTTCCATGGTAATGGTACAGAATGTCAAGGTAAACACATATAAATATAAATAAATAAATAAATAAATAAATAAATATAAATAAATAAATAAATAAATAAATAAATAAATAAATAAATAAATAAATAAATAAACAGTTACTTTGTAACGAACGTGCAGTTACTTTGTAACGAATGTACACAGTACACAGTTCGAAAACGGGTGTTATGTTTTGACCTTTGTGCGTCCGGGTGTCTGGGTGTTCGTGCGTGTGCCCTGTATCTTAGACATGCAATCAAACTTCACACATACATCATATTATACATACATGTATGCACATCAATTTAATTCAAGATGGCCGAATGGTGGCCATTTTTTTGCTAAAAAATCATCAAAATCAAGCATTTATAGTTGTTTTTTGTTTAAACTTGGTACATACGTTGGAAATTATGGGACCGACTGGTGGCCATTTTGTTTTAAAGAATGCAGTTCTAGTGCCATATCTCTGCCATGCTTTGACTGATTATGATCAAATTTTATATATTCATTATACATCATGACATAGATATATTGGTTTGACTATCTGATTCAAAATGGTTAAATGGCAGCCATTTTTGTGCTAAAAAATCATCAAAAATCAAGTATTTCTGGCATTCAAGAACTGGATTTTGACGTTTATAGATGATTTTGTTCAAACTTGGTACATACATTAGAGATTATGGGTTCCTGATACACGTCATTTTATTTTTCAGATCGGATTGAAAATGGCATATCTCTGATATGCTTTGACTGATTATGTTAAAATTTTATATATACCGGGGGTATTCGTTTTATACGTGTTACAGATATATAGATGTATTCAAAATGGCTGACTGGTGGCCATTTTGTTTTAATTAATGCTGTTCCAGAGCAATATTCTCAATATGGACAAGTACTAATTTGATGATCAGATACAAGATGTCAATCATTTTTAGTCCCCGTTCAGACGCAGTCCGAAAACGGGGACTTATGTTTTGACCTCCGTGCGTCCGAACCTGTATCTTAGAAATGCCTGGACCAATCACAATCAAACTTCACACATACATCATACATGAAGTATACATATGCACGTCAATTTGTTTCACGATCTGATTCAAGATGGCCGAATGGCGACCATTTTTGTGCTAAAAATCATCAAAAACAAGCATTTCTCAGCTGTTAACAGGTGGATTTTGTTCAAACTTGGTATATACATTAGACATTATGGGACCTTGATGCACATTATTTTGTTTTACGATCTAATTTAAGATAGCCGAATGGAGGCCATTTTTGTGCTAAAAAATCATCAAAATCAAGCATTTCTCGGCTGTTTACAGATGGATTTTTTTCAAACTTGGTATATACATTAGACATTATGGGACCTTGATGCAAATAATTTTGTTTTTTAGATAAGATTCAAAATGGCCGACTGGCGGCCATTTTGTTTTAATGAATGTGGTTCTTGTGCCATATCTCTGACTTGCTTTCACTGATTATGTTCAAATTTTAAATATTCATTATACATCATGTCATAGATAGACAGATATATTGGTTTGACGATCCTATTCAAAATGGCCAAATGGTGGCCATTTTTGTGCTAAAAAATCATCTAATATCAAGCATTTATGGATGGATTTCGTTCAAACTTAGTACATATGTTAGACATTACAGGTTCCTGATGCACATCATTTATTTTTCAGATCAGATTCAAAATGGCTGTCTGGCGGCCATTTTGTTTTAATGATTGGGCTTCTAGAGCCATATCCCTTAAATGCTTTGACTGATTATATTCAAATTTTATATATTCGTTATACATCATGTTATGTATGTATTCAAAATGGCTGATTTTGAATGCTGTTCCAGAGCAATATCTCTCAATATGGACAAGTACTTTTTTGACGATCAGATACAAATGTCAATCATTTTAATGTTAAAAAATCATATTCCTGACATGGTTATATTCCAGCTATATTACTATAAACAAAACTATATATCTTAAATTTGATAACTAACGGGGACTGTGCCATGCATGGCTTGTAATGTTAAAAATTCATCATAATCATCTTCTAGATCCAAACTTCTGACATGTTTATGTTCCAACTATATTACTATAAACAAAACTATATCTTAAATTTGATAACTATCAGGGACTGTGCCATGCATGGCTTGTATTTTGGTATTTTGAGTGGGAATACAATGCACAAATTATCCTTTTTAAAAAAATTGCAATTTTTTTTCAAAGTCAACCTCATATTTTTACATTTGAGTTTGATTTCATTTACTGATAATGTTATCACCACGGCATGTCATATTGGCTTGTATGACAAAATGGAGTATCACTATTGTTTGTACATTTGATGACCGCACACAATTATAAACTTCACATCCAACCAACAAACAAACAAAAGGTTTTTAAAGATATATTGGTTACAGTCATCATATTCAGAAAGTGCACAATATGTTTATTAGTATCTCAACCATTCATCAGATTTTAATGAATTTTGGCACATGGGTAATCTGTGGTATGCCACAACTTTGAAATTGTGGATAAAAATTGCCTATTTTTCATAAATTAAAACTTTCCAATATTGATGCATGCATTTTGGACAAACGCTTGAATAAAACAGACAACAAACCACACATGTACAATCAATCATATTTCTTCTGTTTCAATATTTCTGTTAGTTTTATAAATGATAGGTTAAATTGCTTTCACATTGTGTCAGCCAACTGACTTTAAATCTAACACTTTTAAATATTTCCTATTTCTACTTTCATATATGTATGGCTTAAAGGGGAACCGCTCAATCCCTTGGATTGCACCAAGTGCTCATGGGTAATTAACTCCGCCTCTGTCCACTGAGTAAATGAATGCTTATCTTTCCCCCTGTACCGCTAATCCCACAAAACAACAACTGATATAAACATCCTAAGAACGTATTACAATTCACTACGTTCAATTACCCACCATAGACTCCGGTCAGTCAAAATGACTATTTTGAACTGTAGGCATTAATCAGCAATTCTGCCGGTGACGGAGAGATAGAATCTAGGTCAGGGGAAGCCCCATGACCCCAAGATTATTTTACCCCTTACGTCACGAACCCACGTGACCGAGGCCACATGTAGTATTTTTCACAACAAAGAAATAAAACCTGGGCGACGTAGTTTAATCACTTGTTGGTTTCGTTACGTCTCCTTTCCTACTGTAATTCGCTTCCCTCATGCATGTCGTCTTCATTTTATGCCTGATCTATGTATTTAGAAATGAATAGATGTGATGACAGCACCAGGATTTCGCTGCCGGTTTTTTTGGGACTCCTCGTGTTTCGAGTCGACGGTGCAGTGGTTATATTCAGAATTTACCAGCATAGAACCCGCATCCAAAATACTTTTGTCGTAGCTGCGTGCGGGGTTTGGGGTTTTTGCCATGAAGGCCTGTGTTTTTCACTGGAGTTCTGAGGCCTGAGATTTTTCTTTCAGAGCCATCAAAATCGCTGAGACTGACCGCGTCGCTCGTTTTCTTCACAGCAAGGTCGCGCGTCCAGTAAACAAATCGGTTAAAGTGAGTGCGTGTTTGGCATGAGTGGAAAGTCCTCAAGCTCGGCTACCGGTGCTTCGTGTACCGGGACGTCGAGTAGGAGGCCCGATGGTGGAGGTACCAACATTTTTTCTCGGTCTCCCCCCGCTGATCGGAGGGCATCCTCACCGTCTGTTTTTTCAGGCGGTAGTTTACCCGATTTTACCGGCTGCAGCGAGGCTGTGGCCCTGGAGGCTTTCCTCCTATGGGGCCCGTTGCGGGTCCCTTTGTGGACCCTTCTTCGCACGGCACCGGGTTTGCTTCCGAGTTGAGGGCTTTGGTCGAAGGACTGTCGAGGCAATTGCGTCCCTAGCAGGCCGGGTAGATCAGACGCAGTCAGAGCGGGCTGTCTCCACTGCGGCCCCTCGGTGGGCAAGCAGGAAGAAACATGAAAGCATGTTTGCATTCAAACACGTCTCTTCCGGGGAACCCCCGTTCCCAGCCGCGGCTCTCCCACTAATTTGGGGGAGGCCGAGGCTCAGGCTAATTGCACCGGGCCTCCTCTGGAGCCTCGGGCACTGAATGCCAACGGGATGCTGGCAGCCAAGACTCCGATCTCGGGGCAGGGCTTTCAGGGCAGGGCACACATTGACCCCCCTACTTTCAGCCAGCCAGGGTTCGTCGCGCGGTAACGGTACAACGGTAACAAATTTATCCTTGTGTCCGGTCTTCGCTGTGGGTTTTTAAACTCCCTTCTTACCGACCCATGGGCGTCCCCAGAGGGAACCGACCCTGTCATGAGACGCACAGTCGAACACGCTCCCTCTCACATATTTAAAGTGAAAGGAGACACAGTTCGCTCGCGTCGGATACAGCCGGTACTCCGGGCGGTCCCTCAGAGTCTTCCATCCGAAATGACTCGGTGAGCCACGCTTTTGGGGTGATGCAGAGTATCATCGATCCCAGTGATACGATGTAAATACCCCCACCCTTGATCCTAAGGCGACCACCTAAGGTTGCTTCAACGCTTATGGGATCACGGGCGTCGGGATCCAAAGCAACCCCGTCGGCACGTCTCTCCCTGTCCGTCTGAGTGCGGAGTGGGGCGCAGGACACGCAAACGGTGTTGATGGGCGGACGTTGGTCAGCAGCAGGTCAGCCGCAGAGGACGTAACACTTAAGGCCCCCGGGTGGGGAAAACCTTAGGCAACACTTCCCGCTGGACCAAACGCTACCCGGTCGGTGTGGTTTTGGGATCAGACACCATAGCATGGGATGAGACCAAAATGCCCCCAACCGGATCCCAAGGCTCCTTCCCCAGACCCCGGTAGCACGAATTTCTGTTTGGCAAACCCGGCAAAGGGGGACAGCCGCGTTCCATGGGCGTTCTCGCCAGCTCAATCGGAGACGACCCATCCAGCCCTGAGGGCAGAGTTGCTTGAGCGCATTATTGTGCGCGCCCAGGACTCTGGAGACCTCGGAGGCAGAACGCACCAGCCTCCTAGACCAGGCGA